GCTTGGAGAGTATTTACTTAAACGTTTATGTCTTAAGTGGAGGAGAACAGTTGGGAGAAAATCCGATGTGTGTCAATATATTGTCTTAAAAGTGACAGACTGGCGCTTGGGCCATCAAAAAGCAAATCTGCTCTTAATCTGAATAACGTTATAGCTTTAATAAGCATTAATCTATCAATGCATACAATGAAAACTATGCAGTGCTCATTTACATTTGATTACTTTTAGATTTCTTTTGTAGGCTATTACTTACCTGAACAGTAATGTTAGTAGAACTTAATGGAAAAATGACAGCACTGTTTATTTCATTTCATTTGTATATTTGTTTTATTGAATTTGCCAGTTTGTTTTACTTTGTTTCTTTGTTCATGTTCTTACTGTATCTTATCTTATGTATAAAACACTAAAAATGCCTGCACACTGGTGCATTTACAAATTGATGTTTTATATTCATTTCTGAGTCTCAAAGGGTTAAACTCAGACACCCTGATTACAAATTAGCCATGTATGGATGTCAGGGGCCAGAGTGCAGAGGAGATAACATTTTATCAGAGAGGCAGATGGATAAAAATAGGTAATCAATAGCCCAGGGGATCGATGGTTTAGTGACATCCTTCTTAATCAAAGCAGCAAAGCCATGCTGACGGACCTGAACCCCCCACAGCGCACTCAAAAGATTTTCTGTCTAAGGTCACAGCTAGCCTCACGCTTCACAGTCACAAGTGCACACACACACACACACACACACACACACACACACACACACAAAAACATGGCAAACATGGGAAAGAGGCAAGTAGCAATCACCTGTTGATGTCAAACTAACATCAGACATTTGACTATAAGCATAACGTCTGGTTCACTTTGCTCTACTTTGACACTGAAGACGACAGGAAGGGGTGGTCCAAGCGATTTGTAAAGCGACCAATAACAGTTCGCTTTCTTATGAGACTAGTCCTGCTATTTTTTCAGCACACGCACACACACACACACAGTGTCACAAGATCCTTCAGAAATCAAATATGCTGGATTGGTGCTCAATTATTAATTATTAATAATTATTAGAGCCCAACCGATATATTGTTTTAGGTATAAATATATCGAAGGCTCATATCACCCTCATATTTTTTACTCCCTAATATCAGTATCGGCCCCCAAAAAAACCCATATCGGTCCGC